GATGTTTCACGAAGTCAATTGGGAGCTTGGATTTTGTAAGTTTGTCAAAGATATAATATGCGAATGAAGCACTAATTCCTTTATATCCCTTCTTTAGAACGTTAGTGCGACCACCCCAAATTACGTTTGATTCAATCGTCGTTTTCAAATTTACCGACTGGATAAAGTTGGTTAATCCCAGCATTTCCAAAAAGTCAGAATTACGAACACATTGCAAAAAACCAAAAGATTTTGAATTGACGCCAAACCGAGTTGACAAACGTCAACTTCTTATTTCCAGGACGACAAGGAATATTAACACTTCCTAGCCAAATCCGCAACCCTGAAACCAATTTTGCATAATTTCTAAAGCATGCCATACATTATCCAGCTAGTCAATGAGCTCCATAAATCTAGGTCCCCTAAAATAACGAAAATTCCTCACAAAAAGGTGTCAGGTTTTATTTCATTCACTTCATCTTAGAATCATTGGTTCAATTTTGACAAATAGGTAAAAAAGCTCCTCTATACTTTTTTCCCAACATAGCAATTAAGGCTAGAGAAAACCTGCATAAAATGACTTATAACTAGGATACAACAAAAACACTCTATTTCTTTCTCCAAAATCCAAATAATAGCAGAAATTTTGTAATGTAGCATCCATTCATAACGTCCATAACGAAGAATCCGATTGTAGTGGCGAAGCACCAGTCTCTCGCGGTCTTTCTATTTTTCATATTTATCGGTAGCTGCTTATGGAACCTTACACCATCTCCATCAGAAAATGTTATGTAGGATTATCAGCGTTGCCAAAAAGTATTCGTACCCTTGAATTAATCGAGCTCTATGGCACCAAAGAACGCCCAAGTCACGATGAGAGGTAAGGATCCCCAAACGCTAAATGTAATTACACCACTGCATACAAAGTTCTAAAACGAAAACATTAGAACTATTACTAGCATATTTTTGTTCGAGATGCGCTTGAAGAAGCAAAAATCTCGGAGCTTGATCACTCACAAAAGGCAATCTTTTCATCCAGTTCTTCTCCTCTTACTCCCCAAATCCCTGATGGCAATGTGAACGTTCTTTTCGCGCGAATTTGTCAATTCTTCACTAAATCTTTAAATAAGCTAGGTTATCATCAGCAAAATCAAACTGTATTGATTTTAAAATACTAGCAGAGCAGACAAAAGCTCTCCATAATGTTCCGTCCACTGAATTCAAAGTAAACGAACAAGATCATACAAAATAAAAAAAAAACAGATAACAATAAATTAATGTTAATCAGCATGCGAATAAATCTATTTCGAAAACGATCACAATATTATCGTAAAATGTACAAAAGGAGGCGGGATGCGATATTCTCCCACAAACCCGTCCTTCTTACAACAGAAAGGCAGTTACACCTCACTGATTTAAGAGGTACAATTGAACAAGCTACACTGCGAACAAGCTCCTAGTTGGTTTTCTTCGTTTTACCATTGTTATTGTTGCGAGGTGAGCCTGGTTTAGGAGACTTCTTCTCGTTCTGCTTGAGGATCTCCCTGGGAATCCACTCAAAGTCAACTTCAGAATTGTTCGTTCCTTGTTCTACTACAGGTTGTCGTTTCTTTTGCATACCAGCTTTGCGGGTGAACTGGAAGCAGAAGATGATATAATGTCGTTCAAAGTCATGTATTTGATATATATAT